ATACTCTGTTTGTTTAACACAAGACGTTTACAGATGAATCAAAACCAAGAATTCCAAGATACACCCTCCCTCTATCATCGTGTTTTCTCACCAACCGCCGTCGAAACCATTCCATTAGTCCGATTTGATGACATTCAGAAGCATGCATTGGCTGAAGCGTGGCGCGAATTCACGGCTCCATGTCCGGGTTGCGGATCTGTTTCCCGGTCGCCCTCGGCAAGCAAGATGGAGCCCGGCGCCGGATCTCAACCCGCCTTCGGTTCGCTTGTCTCAGCGAAATCTGGCTTTACACGTGCGCATTCAAATGACTTGTCGCTGACCCCAAAACTTGCTTTGCTGCGGACGCGCGTGACGCAGCTTTTCATATGATGTAAGCTGTGCAAGCTTTGCCCAGTAAGCAGAGTTAATCAATTATATTATTCGACGAGTAGCATCTCCGAAAGCTTGCTGTCATCCAATGCGAATCTCTAAATTGCCCGTTCATCTGTTTAATGTTGTACGCGTGACGCATCCTAAAGACCCCTGGGCCTGGAGAGCTCGCCGCAGCACATGGGGAAGACGCGGGAACAACGCAACGAAAGTAAAGCTTATTGCGAAAGTGAGGCTTTCGAAATCCAGGGCCTAAATGAATTGCTGAGAAAGGCCGTTGCGGCATCTTGTTGCCGAGTTGAAGCGAGATTCTCAGCGGCGTTTGCTGTGGCGCGTATCGAGGCGTCTGATGGGATTAACTAACAAAACATTGATTCCAACAATTCAAGGTGCCTCTTTTTTCTTTCTTTTTTCGCCTCGTCCGGAAGCCACCCGATAGCTACACCGAGGACAAAAGAGGCTGAGGTCTTTTTGCTCGGAGTTGCTACCGAAGCTGGCTCACAAAGAAATTGTGGTGTTGCTTTATCTCCCCGACTCCCTTGGCTTATTCCCGCCAATAAGACCAGCGGAAAAGGTTTCGTAAACCTAACACGATTGTTGTCGGCTGGATTCAGCAATTCGGAACGGCTTCAATTTCTGTTCTGGTCTTTTGCCCATGAGTTGAAAGCACATGAAAAGTAATCCATCTGTTGTCATTTCAGGGGAAGCGGAATAGATGGCAGACCAGACGCGGCATGGCCCTCGGCGCTGTGCATGCATCAGCATGTGCTCATCACTTAATCGGCCCAGTCACAGGCACAGACTCGCATCCCTGTCCCGTAACTTGGTATTTTACTTGTTTCTGCTGGCTGTGTGTACAGTAGGATTCTGCAATGCGCTGGCCCTATCGCGTCGAACCCGCAGTTGATTAACTACCAGCCCTACGAGTTCGCCTGCAGCCGTTCGATGACGGAGTGACATTCGACATCCAAGAACCCATGCTGATTAATCTATTATACATTCATCCCGCTGCGGCCCTTGGGCGCGTGCGCTGTCACTTGATTTACGATGTTTGTTTTTGAATTTGCATTTGCATGGGATGAACGTGTTTTCTTGTCGCTGACACATGTCGATGGGAAAATAGCCTTTTGAACAAGCAGAAGCTTGTGTCGGGATGAATTGCGCAAAGTGGTAAGGCGTCGATCAGCCAGGCGATTTAAATATAAATAAATAAATCGCGGGAATAAAAAATAATACTAATAGCTAAAAGCTGAAAATAAAAACAAAAGAAAAAAAAGAAAAAAAGGGCGACCGAGACCTTTGACGGCTAGCAGCCAAATTAACCACCAATACGCGCCATCCTCCAACCTTGTGGCTAAGACGAATATCCTCCAGTAAGAAGAGCGACGAGTCCTGAAAATCTCTACCCTCTCATGTGATTGTCTTTTTCATCGCCCCCCCAGAGCGGGGGAAGCGCGAACGAAGCGACAACTGGCTGCAAGGGGGACAAGCAGATTCTTTCTTGGTGCGAGGAGGGGGCTCAGCACTTCGTATTACTGCTACCAGTAACCAGCCATCGATACGCTGGGAGATTTCGCCCTCATCATATTCCTTGTGCCTCATCGTTGCTGCTCACCTGACGCGTAGTTTTCGAGGGAAGCAAAACCTTGTTCACCCGCTGCTTCAGCTGCGCTCTACAAGGCTTTCGGTTGGAGCGGTTCTCTTCGGCTAGAGACGATATACAGTAGAGGCCGGCTGCCTGTGCCGCAGTGGCAAACCACATGAACCTGTACCTATTGGCCCTGCCGGCTGGGGGAGGACCAGCACAAATGTCATCAGTTGATGCAGGCCTCAACCACCTTTCGGGCCTATGCGATGGTGCAGAAGCTGTTTCGGGCCAAGAGCAGACAGGAAAAGATGACAATGCATTGTCGATATGCACTTCTCAGGGGGTGGGAGGGCCGTTGACGTGCTTTTTGCCGTTTTGCTGATCCGGGCTGCCTCTGCCATCGTGAACCATGACATCATGGTGTTGTTTCTCGGCTTGTCTGCCCCCCTCCTCCGCAGTAGGTACATGTAAAGCTTCGTTTTGCTTTTGTTTGTGTAAACGGCGGGAACTGTCTCCCCCAGGGCTTTGCCTCAATTGGTAAAATTGAGGGGGGGAGAATGCGGCAATTGAAAATAGTAAAGCAGATCAAATTCCATCCAGAACCAACAGCATCAAATTGCGATGGGATATTCCAGCCACCGCAGTAAGAATAACAACAACAGACAGGCGAGGGGGTGAAAGTTTTGCCTGGCGCGTTGAGAGCCAATTTAGGAGGCTTTCCTATTTAGGCAACCCCCCTCTGATCCTGATGATCGTTTTACCGCAGCCTGACGCCATGGACTCTGTAAATCTACGCGCAACGAGCCAGCTGATCGCTGTTGTATCGAGATTCGTGACGGTTGATGGCTGCAGGGTATTTTTGCCGTAAAAAATCATCTTGTCGCCGGGGAAATGGGGGAAATGGAGGCTGGCGTGCATTCTGTTGTCGTGCCGAGGAGCTTTACCGAAGGACGACGCCCGCTGAGCGACTTGATATCAGATTGCTAGGTCAGGACCTGCATTGGCCCTGACATGAATTACGACGAGATTAAATAACTAGATAAATTCAAAATAATAAATAATAAATATGAATTCAATAATTCTCCTCCGCAAAATGCCAGAGCTGTGCTGCCCAGCCCAAGCCATTGCGCCCCAGTTCTCGTATTCTTACCGTTCCCGCCTCCATATTTATATCTTCACAAACACATCGCAAGCTATTAGGCTACCGAACCACCTCAGCACGGCTCCTCTTCCCGCTTTCCCCAGGGGAGCCATTGAAAGGCTGTTTTTCTTTTGCCGTTGAACATGGCCGCTCAGGACCACTCCCCAGACTCGTAGCATATAAGCGCCAGTTGAGCGTTTTCTTGCAAAGCGTGTTGACTGCGAATCAAGGCACGCGTCGTCGTGGCGCCGCAATCATTAGACTTTTGGCCGAAGCTACTTGGCGGATCGCCGGAGGAGGCTAGAAGGGCACACAATACACTGAATGAGATGGGGGATGCGGAAAACAAAAGCAAGTAGAAACAGGGACCGTTGAAGATTGCGGCTCTGCACTTCATGCAGCCTCGGGGGACTATTGAATGAGATAAATGAAGATGGCGTTCTTGGACGATTCAATCTTGGCGGATCATGGTCTGGCGTTACCATTCAATTGGTACAAACTAGTTGTTTCTTCTAATGTTGACTTTGAAACTAATGGTCGACTTGCATACGCCTTATTCGGCACTTGCGGTGCGAAGGAGTATTACTACCTTTTGTTTTTGTTTTTATAAGTTGCCTTTTCTGTCCTCTTACTGGCCAACTTAGTTCTGGTTCATAGAACTTTGGGCGAGAGTATAATATTCATTCACATGATACTCTACAATGACGAAGACGAAGTACAACACCGAAAACCACCGAGATTGACTTTGCAAAAAAGATGCCGAACATGATTGACCCCGGATAGCACCATTCCGACGATGCCGAAATACCCTTGCCAAGTTTTGCTATCTGCATATGTAACCCTATCCCTTCGGACACTCAATTCCAATCGAGAATGAGCATCTAAATTACAGGCCCGGGAGAGAGACTGAGATGCGAATTTGTTTCACGGTAGCTAAAAGTAGGAGAAGGATTGTTCCGTCAAAGACTTTGGATCGTCCATCACGAGACCTTTGTTTTGAGAGGGAGTTGGCCGGGCTCAGATTTGATTGCCGATGCGAGGGGATCTTTTGGACGTGTCAAGACTAGGAATTGAGATGGGATGCTGCATGATTAATGTATGTCGGAGAAATGGAAAAGAAATAGAAAAAAGAAACAGAAAAAAACAAAAGAAATAGGAAAAGATGATGAATAAAAGATGAATTAAAAATACAGAAATTATATTTCGGAAATTTTTTGGATGCGGAATAAGGAGGATTATTAACCTTTGTATTAACTTTGTTTGCCTGATTAGAAACTGTATGGCAACCATCAAAAGAGAGTATTAAGCTGAAGGAATGCAATCATTGAACACAATCGTTCATCTTAGAATGACAATGCCCTCTATTTGTGCTGTCACTGAATACAATATAAGATCTTATCATCGTGATGATGCGTGATGTATATGATGTAAAATGTAAAGAGCATTTAATACATCCAAGTTTGTAACATAGACATATTAAATGTGTGTAAACTGCCATGGGTCGTCGTTGTACCCCCAATGACACCGTTTAGAACGTCGCTCTGTCTTTCTTTTGCGATGTCCGTCGGGTATTTCATCTATTTATTGATCCCTGGTGAGACGATGCGTTTAACGTATACTTCTAAGCTGTTACTTGTATATTGTTAAAAGCAGAAGAACCGAGAGTATTCCCTAGTTTGTATTTTCGCCATGTTTGTTCGGATGACGAACGGGGCGTCATGCTGGATAAATTCATGGCGACGACACTATCACATTGCAAGACGCACTTCTCGTTCCGGATTCAACCCATAGTTTGTAGTGCATTTGATTTGCCATGTATGTAGATGATTTTAGTCGACTACATAGTTTTTCGTACGGTTATACTAATATAAATCATGTATATACATGCCATCCCCCTCTTCATCATGCTTCCCCGGCAACTGCTAGTCCTTGACGAGCCACCAGAACCGATCTCTGGAAAGTCTTTGTTTCCGACAGCTCTGGCAGTGACATCTCCGCCGTAGCCAAGTTTGGCTTCCGTGCATCTGCGGGATCCTGTTCCGGTTCGGCTGCCAAAGGTCTAAACACCCGTATGAATGCTTCCGTCACCGCCCTTCGATCATCTTTGGTTGAGCGGCACTTCTTAACATGAATGAGAGCTTCGTCGAGCTTGAAGAGAGCATCCTTGTGATCATTCTTCTCTTTGGGATGTACCACAGCTCGCATCGCCGTTGTCTTCATGGCCAGCTTGATGCTCTCTTTACAGGCCCGGCTGCCACGCCACCACTGGACTTCCGACGTGAAGTTGGACAGGATAGACTTCAAGGCATTGTAGCTAGCGGAGCCGGTGTATGCAAAGACCAGGTTGGAAAAGTTGTACTCGCTGTACAATAGCTCTCCGTTACCGTTTTCTCTGGCAGCTACCTCGCACATGGTGGCAGCGCCTCGCAAATCACCATTGGCCGAGAGGATCTGCGCAGCTTTGTTGTACACACTGTCGTGGATGCGAGCGCCGCGACGCAAAGCCTGCTTGATCAAATCGCCGGCGTCATCCCCCTTCTCAAGCCTTGCTAGTAGAAGAGGCGTCAGAGCCTCCGTCACATCGAGGCCTTTCCCGCGAGCTTCGTCAATAAGCGATGCTGCCTCATCAATGCTTCCATCTTGCCTCTTGATGTGCCCTATGACTGCTAGACGAAGGCAGCGGACGGATGGCTTCAACTCGCTTGATTGTAGTCGGTTATACGCTTCACAGACGCGCTCCCATTCATCCTGAGCAGAGAGCCATTCCATGCACTCGAAAGCGTCAGCCTCAGACAACCAGTGACGTGACTCGAGCAAAGGAAGTGACAAGTCACTCGAGCCCTTTCCATCAGCTTTGCTGGGTGAAAAGTTCGAGATAGCCGGCGACAATCCCTGGAGATTTTGATGTAGATCAGTTATAGTTTTGTCGGAGAAGCTCCAGTATTTGCGGCAGCCGGAATAGAATCGCCGCATAAAAGTGTCGTCCATCTGAAATCCGGCATCATGACAGAACTGCAGCCACGAAAACATCGACTCAAGATCATGTCGGCCTGCATGCTGGTCCAAGACGAGGTTGACCCATCTGGACCTGAGGGGTATTCTGTAGCTGCGCACAAATCTCCTAAGTAGAGCCTCAAGCCCTTCCGAGGAGCAAGTCTGCACAAACACATCTGTGATTTTGCTAATCATGTATCGTAAGTCGTCTGGCTTGGTATCGTCAGCACTCTCAAGCGCCTCTATGCCATTGCGGACTGATTCCCAGTGGCCAAGAGCAGCTTCCCGCACAATTAGCCTGCTTTGGAGTTTTATATCGCTTTTGACTGCATCTGGATTCGTTTCGTAAAGGCTCTTCATCTCTTCCTGAGCGAAGGCATCGTCTCCTGCTTTCAGAGCCTTGGATACCATAAGACGACGTATTTTGTATTCGATATTGGGAGGCACAACAATTCCCTGGTACAGTCCAGCACTTTGTAGAAGTCGATACAAGTGTTTGATATCCTTGAAGCTCCCCATGACCTCGTCGAGACCAGAAAGCACCCGATAGAGCGTCATGCCATGCATCCAGAACCGTGCTTGTTTGCGGTCAGAGAGGAGTTGTAGAAGTCGCTCTAAGCCTTTCTTATCCTTCTTCTCCCATAGCCACTTTGTTAGAGGTGACAAGATCTGAATAGGGTCTTTGGACTTTGGGAGTAGGGCTGTAAGAACGGTTTCTGTTTTGGTAGGTTCGGATTCAATCGTAATTTTCAGCAGCCGCAATCCGTTTGATTTGACAAGACTGCTTAATGTAGGGGTTGTAGGCCGTGATTCTGATAAACTTTGTAGCTGGACAAGGGCCAAATCCATCATTTCAGACGTCGAAGCGTGTGTTGACTGGCCCATCTCTAAGTCCTGTAGGATTTGCTCGAGCTCTGCAACTTTACCAATATGGCGCGATTGAGTGGTGCTCTCCTGAGCCGGCATGTTTGACAAAGATAGGCGGGCCGGAGCAGAAGAATCTGGCCGGAGAAGCTCATGAAAAGATGCCGAGCCAATCTTCGAGCCCAGAGAGCGTAGGGTAGTTCTATGCAGAGACACCTTCACCCTCGCATCCACATCCTTGTCCAATTTGTGCGAGTCCTCTTCCCTAGAACGCAGCGGAAGACCTGGTATTGCAGAACCTGCTAAAGATTTGAACGACACATCCAACTGCCGGATATCAGCCAATGGGAGAAGAAGCCTGGCCGTATCTAGTCCGAAGTTGGCTTTCTGTCCCTCTTGGACAGCATTCTGTTCCGTGCCGGGAGCCGCAATCCCACTAGCAGTTTCACGATGATCGGATGGGATTCTGTTGACATCGACGCCTCCACCGCTCGGCAGAGCAATGGAAGAGTTGCTCCGACGTCGTCTTCGATAGGGATTCTTGGGGCGTGAAGCAGACGGCAGCGATAAAACCTCATCCCCGAGATCAGCCAGTCTATCCTCCCAGCTTTCGCTCAGCGCAACGGCGCCCCGGTTGCTTTTGACGATATGCAGCTTGCGCGCATTATCAATGGCGGCGCGAGCAATCTTGAGTCGGCGGCGACGCTCTTCGGCGAGGAAGACGACGGAACATGAAGTCGTCAAGAGGACGCCGCGCAGGGCATTGAGCGCCGCTTTAGAGGGCACGGGAGGAGTGGAAGCCATTTCGACGGCCCATAGCTGCAGCTGAGCTTCTGGGATTGGGCGGATTGGGCGATTCTGGGCGCATCCAAGGTGTTGAAGTGCGGTTTGATCTTGTCCGGAGCTATCGTAAGATTTCTGGACATGGCATGATGGAGCAACTATTTCGGCAATACCTCGTAGTGGGAGAATTTCAATGGTTCTGGCAGCTGTGGGGGTACGTACCTCACCCCGCCAAAGTGTGGTGCAGGCTTGGAGCACATCGGTACGTACCCCCGTCGCTCAATAAGTCCGACATTAGAGGCGAAGGGTGATGATGAGATATGAAGAAGCTTGCCAGAGCATAAATAGTGAGAAAAAAAGATGAAGAAGTGTTTAATTAGATTGGACTGGTGAACTACTGGTTTGGTTCAAAGATGACAACTAAAGCCGATTGTTGAGAATGAGGCTACCATACACACAGCGACTATACCAAATCACTGGATTCACTTACACAACCACACAATCTAAAAAGAAGAAAGGAGATTAAATTTGTAATCCTGCTATAAAATAATTCCACCATGTGTTAATTCTCTGCTGCTGTTTCATAAAAGGTGATCTGATATCACAAACGTAATACCATGCAGAATCGTCCGTTCATCCGCAACGTCCAGAGGCAATGCTGTATCTACTCTACCCGTAGAAGTATTTCTACTCTTTACTCATTCCATTTGAGCACTGTTGCACCTAACAAGCCTAAACAAGTCTTTGCTTGGCTCAAGATAGTCCCTAGATGGCGTCGTTGGGAAGACCACTTCTATCCGCACTGTACCCTTCACCTGCACGAGTGCTGTCATCCAAAAGGAGCCCTGTTGGACGGCTTATGTGAATTTTGTCTATACTTCACCACGGAAGAGACGGCGGCACGTGGTTACTATTGGAATGTGAGCTGGGCTCTCCCTACGTTCAAATAGCTGATGCATAATAGGCATAAAACGATAGGTCTAGCTCTCTTCTATTCCTATAATTCGATGACACCAGGCTGTGACAGTCTATGGAATGGTTCTCCTAAGCCATGTTCCAAATCCAAACCTAGGAAACCAATGGTATTTTGAAGGATTTGATAGTGTTACGTTAAATCTGTTCATCTCAAAGTGTACTGCAAGGTTATATGCTCTAGAACATTTCGTATTCTCAGACATTTCAGATCCTAACCGTTGCAACCAATCATGTTGGAAGGAGCATAGGAATGTCACCTTCGGAGTACCATGAGGATTCCCTGGCACCTGTCTTAAAATACTTCAGCTTGGTGATGGATCTACGTACGATAGTGTGATACTTGAATGTATAAATTGAGCGACGACTTCGCTTGTAATTTAGTGACTGGAGCACCTCAGGAAAATCTTCACCTTTACGAATAGACCCTATCAAGCACTTATACTTGCAATTCATCAATACCTTTCCGAAATGGAGCTTTCCAGGCTTGCTATGATTGTGTCCTTTCTCGCTGGAGCAGTGTCAACCACCCCGACGAGTCCTCCAGTGATCATTAGACTATTCCCTTCAGTCCGTGTCTGTAAAGACGCGAACTTTGGCCCCCCTTGTGACACTGTGCCATCTAACTTTAATGAATGTGGTAAGTTTCTCCTTAATGCGCACAGAGCTAATGCCGTAAATCACTAAACAATGATATGGTTGGCTGATCCATCTCAAAGTCAACGTTCCAGATGGCTACAACGACAAGATATCCTCCCTACAACCGAATAAAGAGGCCGGAAACTGTCGCTTCTTTTTGTAAGTCGCAGTCTCTTGTTAATTCAACGGTAAAGAACAATTACTGATGGATATAGGCATTACAATTGTAATGGCCCATCTTTTGACTCTCTTTATCCTGGATATGATGAACTCACCGCTCAACGTCCCGAGTTCAATGATCAGATTAGTTCCTGGCAATGCTATGGTCGGCTACCTGCTCTTTGGCGGCCCACTCCTGACAATTGAACCCAAATGGGCATTGAACTATGTGCCACTCTCTGCACTGAGTCAAATAGCTTAGCTATAATCATTTGTTATGGGGTTCAGTACCTAGTTACAAGTGATTAGACTGCCCGATGGATCTACATATCCAACAAGGCAGCCGTTGAAATAGAGCCTTTTTCTACCCAATGATATGTAACCGACCCGTGAGGCATAAAGCAGCTACAGACATGGAAACAATGAGTGTGGATGGACAAGGTAAACTTGAGGTTGGCAAACCTTTTTGGGCCAATGGAGCCGAGAGAGCAATAGCATATCAAATATATCAGGTTTCGGCTTCTGCATCTGCTTTGGATATGACAAGCTACGGATATCTACAAAAGGGAAGAGTCTCGATGTAATTCGATCTGCGACGCTGACATCACGGTATGTGCCGGAATCGGCCCTCGCGTTCCAAGCGTTGGAGGATATACCACTCGGCCTGAGAATCGGACCTGCTGGAGTGACAATAGCGAGCCAGCTCTGTAAGCTGCCGACGGGAATAGTACTGTGGAGAAACTTGCGACAAGGATGCGAAGCTGGCTGAAGCTACTTACAGAGAAGATAGTCTGTAGTTCTGGCCCAATGAGATATCGAGGTCTCGCTTCACAAAGCCAGTCTTCAAGCTGGATGAGACTCTAGCAGCATCTCAAAACGCAAAGTTTAGGAAGCCGACTAAACTTAATGCTAGCTATAAGGTACTCCGGGGGACATCAGGCTTAAAGCTGGCAGCCTCAACAATTGCAAAGCAAGACTATATGGCGGTAAGAGTGTCCAAGGGAATATTTAAGTCCTCATACAGATTCACCAAAATGAGGTTGTTCAATAGCGAACGAGCTGGGATGATGATGGCCCTATGGCCAACACTTATCGACGTCCCTAACGACAATCGTATCCAGACGAAAGAGATGGCTTGGATATTATCCGAGTGACATACAAACTAGCGACAGAGGCGCATTTGTTCATTATACCTGAAGTATTGTTTGTAAAACCATGGCTTTTCCGCCGGTTGAGTTGCCAGGCACTGTAGCTTTTCCGTTGACGGAGTTCCTGTTGATTCGTCGCTTCAATTGCTCTGTGTGTGTGGATGGCACGACAGTTAGTTTGCATGCAATATTATCCGTTTTGGGCCAGTTTCGATGGCGATAGGCTGAAGTGAGTCCTTGTGTTGCGATTTCGCAGCCACTTGGTTCCCAAACAGATGCAAGCCTCTTTCTGTTTTCCGGAAATAGTATGTTATGTTGGAGAGTGGTGATGTGCGTCTGTATCTGGGAATAGCGACGGGCGACATTGGCCTCGTACTTCGGCATTGAAAAGGTACCGTGGATAGTCTATAGTCCCGGTTTGGGTTGCAGTAGTTCAAGTAGTGACATATAACACCAACATGTCTGAGGGCTCTTACACGGGATGCAGTCCGTCCTATTAGGCAGATTGTACCCATGATCAGTCGATACATACGCCACGTCTGTTCAGCAGCGGAGTTGATGCATCACCGTGCATTTCAGGGGGACCGGACAAAGACTAAAGCCGGGCAACTCGCCGGTTGTGTTTTGTAATGGCAGCATTTTATGGGATTTGTCGAGACAAACATGAGCTTCCGCCACCAACAACCCCGCTCCTCGAGTCCGAAAATATCACCAAGTCCCGGTGTTTGGCGGCCCGAGGTGCTCCATCCGGACGCGCTTTGAGAAACGTCGCATTTCTAATTCGGACTTTAGGACGGAGCTGAGATGCAACCTCTCGCATGGAATTAAGAGATTGACCGAGGGCTGTGCGGACTTGGGATTTTTGAAGGATCGGGAACCTTTGTCTCGGGGTTTGGTACAGGGCACAAGCCGTTGTACATGCAATAGACGTCTGCTTGCGATTGGTTTGTCTGTTGCATGCAAGGAACATTGAACTCATGTACATGTACTTGTTGCTGCTGCAACTGTTGATTGACACCCACAACAGCTGCCCGCTTGGATCGCCTCAATCTCGTTGCAACTCTCGAGTGCGATTGCCCATCTTGCGTGGCTCAAGTCCGCCATGAGCCATTTTGGCCAGAGCACCGTCTTGCACGGGCTTGGCGAGCAGCAGCTGTTGCATCCTGCGTTTGCAGCATTTGCAGCTATAAAGCACCGCAGCTCCTCGCCACTAATTCAACACTCATCTCCAATCCTCAACCGACCTTCTCCTCTGACAGTAAAGCACATTCCCGCAACCTCATCATATCACGTTACTAGGAGATAAAAAGTTTGAAAAGGAAAGAAAAGGAAAGATACACATCATCTCGTCAACATGAGCTACTTCCCTGGTCCTCCTCCTCCCGTGAGCCCGCTCAACCGCTACCGGTTGCTGTCACCAAATGCCTCCGTGAGAGTCAGCCCGCTATGCTTGGGCTCCATGAACTTTGGTTCAAACTGGTGAGTAGTTGACTTAATGCTAAGTATGCGAAAATATACCCGTTGCTGACCATGTAATATAGGAAGGACTTCATGGGAGACTGCGACAAGGCGGCCTCGGAAGCCATCTTGGACTTTTTCTACGAACAGGTGAGAACACTAAGATTGCCGATTTGATCTTTGTCTCTTGCACAAAACGCTTCTTGCTCGAGTGCTGACATCTCGCTAAAGGGGGGCAATTTCATTGATACCTCAAACAACTACCAGTTCGAGGAGTCCGAAGCCATCATTGGCGACTGGATGAAGAAGAGAGGAAACCGCCATGAGATGGGTATGTCTCATTAGAGACCAAGCTGCTCATCGTCCAACATCAACTCACTAAATATATTTCCTAGTTATTGCAACAAAGTACACTACCTGCTACAAATTAGGACCCGTTCGTCCTCATATCGCGGCCAACTTCACCGGAAACGGAACAAAAAGTCTCAACGTATCTGTTGAAGCCAGTCTGAAGAAGCTGCAGACCGATTACATCGATCTGGTGAGGCAATCTACGCTGTATCATTGGTTTCTGGACCATGATGCTAATCCATCATAGCTTTATGTGCATTGGTGGGACTTTGGTACCTCAATTCCGGAGGTGATGCAGTCGTTGAACAACCTTGTTGCGTCTGGCAAGGTTTTGTATCTGGGCATCAGCGACGCTCCCGCCTGGGTGGTGAGGTAAGAATGCACGGAGTTCGTCTTTGCCATCTATTCTTCTGACGTTTTGATAACAGCAAAGCAAACGAATATGCGCGAAACCACGGGCTGCGTCAATTCTCCGTCTACCAGGGACTCTGGTCAGCAGCCAACCGTGATTTCGAGCGCGACATCATCCCCATGTGCAAGGACGAGGGCATGGCTCTCGCCCCCTGGGGATCACTCGGCTCAGGCAAGTTCAAGACGGAAGAGCAGCGCAAGGCCGAAGTCGGACGCAAAGTACAGGCTACTGAAGTCGACATTCAGGTCAGCAAGGTGCTTGAAAAGATTGCTGCGCGTAAGAACACGGTTCTCACGAGCGTCGCTCTGGCATATGTTACTCAAAAGACCCCTTACGTCTTCCCCATTGTTGGCGGAAGGACGATTGAGCACCTCAAGCACAACATTGAGGCCCTCACCCTGCAGTTGACTGAGGAAGATATTGAAGAGATTGAAAGTGCTTACCCCTTCGATTTCGGATTCCCTCACAACATGATGTGGGGTGGTAAAGCACCTGGTCCATCCCAGCAGAAGATTTGGCTTCTTGAATCTGCTGCTCACTATGAATATGTCTCGGAACCCAAGGTCAGTTTTGCCCCCTTCGACACTATCCAGCAATGATGTTTGAGATCTAACAAGCTGTTTGTTTCTGCAGGCTATTGCACCGACAAAAATAGGAGAGTAGAGCGTCCGCTTTAGGTCGTCGTGCTGGAGATGGTTGCCAGGACGCCAGAACACTCAGCAGATCCATTGTGAGCATGGTATTCATACTGGCACCGGCCCTGGCTGGTGAATGAGAGGAAAAGGCGAAATATTTTTGGCCGTTATCCCAGTATTTGGGTAATGAGAAACGAGGGGGTTAGGGATATGCACCCTTGAACTGGGTATAATTTGCTTGAAGCATTTGAGTTAGTTGCATTAGAATAGTAAACAGTAATCCATCGCTTCATCTTTAAGAGCTAATGTGTGACATGGGCACGACGGTGAGGGAGATGACCCGAGTTGAGATTGGTAACCATCTCATTATATTAATGGGTATCTACATTACCTATTTTGGTTTGTGCATAACAGCTGTCACATGGCTATCATCAAATACAAATATCCTATATCCCACCCCAACGCCGACTCGGACTGGCCTCTTGTTCGCGAATCATGGTCGTTCATTTAGCGCCTTTGCCCTTTGCCTCGTTGTCGCCCAGCTCTCGGATGAAAATTGACGTCTGTCCAGCGCCGCTGTAGTCGTTCTGTCCAGTCTCGAATCCAGGGCACACTCCAACAGCTAGATACTTTCCGTCATTCGAGAACGCCAGGGCGGCAACGTTATTGGGGAACTTCTGATACTGTTTTAACCTCCTCTTGGCCTCTGCATCCCACAAAGCCACTGTGCCGTCACCGCCTCCCGACGCAAACGTTCCGTGGACGGAGTGGAACGCAAGAGCGTTGACGGGATAAACGATGTCTCCATCGCCGTCGGGGGCTGCTTGTCTGTGGCACTTGAATGCATATTTCCTGGCCTGCGACTCGGCGGTATCCTCGAACCACTCGACCGCAACACGGCCCTCAATGCTGCTGGTGGCGTATCCGGCATCGTTGGGCATGCAGGACACTGCACGAGTGAGGTATCTGAGAGACGACTCGCGCTGTTGCCAGGGCTTAAGCTCGGTGCTGCCGGTACGGAAGAGCTCGACGATGGAATTGATGTCGTAGATGTTGATGATGCGGCCCGTCATGGCAACGACAACCTTGCTGGGGCTACCAGCTAGGGCTTGGGGTTTGCCCGGAAGGGTAATGGTAATGGGGGTGCTGGAAGGGTCATTGAGGTTGTGCAGGTTGAGAGTGCTGTCCCAAGACGCAGAGACGAGGATACCGTGAGATCTGCTGTATACAACGCGGCGAACGGGGGCGGTGTGCTTGCTCAGGGGAGTTAATTCTCCGGTCTCGAGATTGAGGCTGTCATTCCATGGTCAGCAGGTAGCTCAACTGTCACCGACTTCGTGATCGGGGGCTGGCAAATACCGGTTGACCGTCCAGTCCATGCCCGCGGTGAAGGCCTCATTGTCGTCAGCACCAAAGCAGACGTCTAGAACTGGAGCACGGTGCTCGTATGCGTTGACGAGGCTTGAAGCCTCTGGGCCGTTTGTAATGTCATAGTAGTACACCTTGTTATCCCAGGATGAGACAAGAAGCTTCGTTCCTGAGTCGGGCGCGAATGCGATGGACGATACCGCGTCGCCGGGGGGCGGTGAGAGCTCGTATTGCGTTGCTAACCCTTTGTCAGTTATCCATTTTGAAAAAAAATCAAGCAGCAATTCCTAGACACCGCCGCGGACGTACCTGGAGCCATTGCCAATGCCCATGCTCTGCTATGACGATTCATCAACTCCTTCCAAGATGGAAGCTTTGGATGTTTACTTTGGAGGTCACGTGCAGATAAGCCCGAAGCATGGCTGTGGCGTGGGCATTGGGCGTTATCGACCGAAGCATGAGCCACAACCACCCCGCCACGAAGGTTTGGCTCAAGCGCAAAATACTATCAAAATTGTGACTCCTCATCCCACTTCGAATCTTTTAGAAACGTAGCGTATACAGAAGCTCTGTCCTTCCTACGAGTCGACGTCGAACGAGCCCCGTGGCCCTGGAAGTCTGTCCGACCGCCGTTTTCGAGTAATTCAGCAAATTTCCGAGCGATCACCTTGAACACACGCGTGAGCAGCTACGAGAGAAAGTTTCGGGTCCTATAAAAAAGCCAGCCCCCACTTCCTATTATCCTCTTCTCGCCAACCGACTCCCATTTCCCCAGAGTATCGTCGAACAACACCGCCAAGATGTCTTTAACAAACTGTCGGTTTTACGAGGAGAAGTATCCGGAGATTGACAGCTTCGTGATGGTCAATGTCAAGCAGGTGGGTTTTCACTCCGGATTCCAGAGAGAGAGAGAGGCGGAAAGAAATGCACGGAAAATCTGACAAAAAATCGAAACAATGGATAGATTGCCGAGATGGGTGCCTACGTCAAGCTACTGGAGTACGACAACATAGACGGCATGATTCTGCTTTCTGAGCTGTCCCGAAGACGTATTCGAAGTATCCAGAAGCTGATCCGAGTCGGACGCAACGAAGTTGTGGTGGTTCTCCGTGTGGACAAGGAGAAGGGTGGGTTATCGCCGGTCCCTAGGTCAGATCATGGAAAACGAGGCTCATATTAAATCACAGGATACATCGATCTGTCAAAACGACGTGTTTCGCCCGAGGATATCGTCAAGTGTGAGGAGCGCTACAACAAGAGCAAGATGGTCCACTCCATCATGCGACACGTTGCCGAAAAGACCCAAACTCCCATCGAGTCTCTATACGAGAGCATAGCCTGGCCTCTGAACCGCAAATACGGCCACGCTATTGACGCCTTCAAGCTGTCCATCACGTACGTGGCCAGAGTCAAGCATTCTACACTTTTCTATATGAGTAGCAGACTAACGTGGATGTAGCAACCCCGAGGTGTGGGAGGAGATTCAGTTCCCCAACCAGGTTGTCGACGACGAGCTGAAGCTGTACATCAGCAAGCGACTCACTCCTCAGCCCACCAAGGTCCGTGCCGACGTCGAAGTCACCTGCTTCGGTTATGAGGGTATCGACGCTGTCAAGACTGCCCTGCGAACCGCCGAGGCCAAGAACACAGAATCGATGCAGGTCAAGGTCCGACTTGTTTCGCCGCCACTTTACGTGCTTACTAGCACATGTACCGACAAGGCACAGGGCATCACCCGTCTGGAGGAGGCCATTGTCGATATCCGAACCAGCATCGAAGCAGCTGGCGGCAATCTCACCGTCAAGATGGAGCCCAAGGCCGTTACCGAGAGCGATGATGCCGAGCTACAGGCACTCATGGAGAAGAGAGAGCGCGAGAACGCCGAAGTCAGCGGTGACGAGAGTGTCAGCGACAGCGACGACAACATTCCCGAGACAATCTAAGCGTCTCACAGCTCTATGCCAACAGCGATGAAACTGCGGTTCTACACTTGGGACCGGGGGAAAGCGGATACCATCTTTTACAAACGAAAAAGAGGAAGGAAAAAAGCCGTCAGCGCTCGTATTAAAATGAGAGGCATGAGCCTAGAATTTGGTTTAGGAAGCTTTTGTGGCGGGTAATGGCGTCGTTTTGCGTGACGGACGGTGGAAAAGCCGTGGAGCTCGGCATTTTTGTAAGGGGTAGATTTTGGCAGACTCCGCGACGTCTGATTTACGTGGAGAATCCAAGTATATGAAAAAGAAAAAAAGTCATAAAAACAATCAACAATGTTAAATTGCGCCATGTATTGTGCCCGTAGACATGATGACTGAGGACTGGGTTTGACTCCGAATACATGTTAATCTGGTGTTTAAATGCACTTGTGAAGAGGTCACTGAGGCTCTACTGTGGGATGAGCTAACCCCACCACTAAGCAACTTTTTTCCCAAATCAGTACTGGCAAAGGGCTTAAGCTATTTCTAAGATTGTCAACGCTCTTTATGGATTGATCTACTGAGCTGCTCACTGCTCTGCGACGGCATTTATATAAGCTGTATTGGTCCTCATATTTCTTCTTCACTGCGGTATCCCTCGGGAGCACCTCCATGGCGCTCAATTCGCTATGGGCACGAATAAGAGGTAGCGCAGCCGGAGGCACTCCAAGCTTCTCCCGGACGACGGCGCTGAACCTCATCGGCTTTGCGACGTGGATACCGGTGATTGCGTGGTTCAACCTGCACGTGGCCGAGCTGACGGTTGTGGACGGGTCATCAATGTATCCGTTTATGAATGCGGATAGGGATTCGTCGCTGCGGAGGGACGTCGTGTTGAACTACAAGTGGTCGCCGCAGGAGGATTTGCAGAGAGGGATGATAGTGACTTTGAGGTGAGTTTGTTGTAATCTGTTTTTCAGTGTGAAGATGAATTACGGCCGCTACGATGTATGATGTTTACGAGACTGGAATGTACTGATGCAATCGTCTTATTGCAGGAGCCCTTTTCATCCCGAGGTGATTGCAGTCAAGAGGGTTGTCGCCCTAGAAGGCGATGTCATCAAGACAAAGAAGCCGTATCCCGTTCCAACGGTCAGGATACCGCAGGGACACGTCTGGGTGGAGGGAGATGGTCCGCCGGGCTCGAGTCTGGACAGCAACACGTATGGACCGATTTCAAAGAGGTTGCTGACAGGGAGAGTGACGCATATCGTGTATCCGTTGAAGAAGTTTGGGCCCGTCCAGTGGTGGGAGCATGACAGGCCTTTGGTGGAGTGATCAAGTGCGGGATACCTCAGGGGAGTGTGTACATGTACGAGTATGATGGGGGCTGCTACACATGCATTTGGGCGGCGTCTTTTGGGCAGATGAATGTATCATTAGTTGGAAACAAATACCACTTGTATCAATCAATTATAGCATCTAATTGAATACTATATATATATATGTACGGCACTCAACGTCATGGCTCGCTGACCGAAGCAAAACCCCGTCAATTCACCGGTCACGCCACAGCGGATCAGCACGTGTGGCGCAGCCCAACCACCAAAACCGCCCTATCAGGAGCCTCAGGGCAAAAAGTTCTCAGCGAGCGTTCGGGAGCCCACGCGATCGCCCAAGGCATCGAGACCCTGGAAAGAGGCTTCGCCGTTGAATTCGACCTTTTCGCCATCGCATTTTCGCTCTCCCGCTTGTTTCATTCTCGTCATAAAACAAGGGGAGACGAGTTTTGCTCCCAGTTGCGACTTTGCGCTGTCGTGCGCCGGACTGTTGTTTTTTCTTTTTTTCCCCGAGGACCCTTTTTTTTTCCTTCTTTACTCTTCTTCTTTTTCTTCTTTTGTCATTTCTTCTCTTTTCGCATAGTACCTAGACAAAGCCGAGAGTTCTCTCAATTGGGCGCTCTTTTCCCTCCTTTCTCAAATGTCCGAAGGCCTCTCCAGCTCCTCGCAATTCCCCCTCGCCGGCTTCAACTCTGCGACCGCAAAGCCCGACGGCGCGACATCCAGCGATTCCACTGCGGCGGCAGGCCGTGACACTGCCCTGGAGCCTCGCCATGCCGGCCATTTCTCGATAGCCTCGTCCGACAGCCAATCTGTTCACGCCATGCAGGGCCAAGATGTCGAGGCTGAGGGCCGGCCGCCATATATTCACGTTGGTGCTCCTTCTTTGTTCCTTTGCTGTTCCGGGCTATGACGTTGTGGTTTATTTTGGGCTCTTGCAATGAGGGGTCCTTTTTATATGTGTGTTTTCAGGACTAATGGTTCGATCTTGCAAGGCAATGATTGCGGGAGGCCTTGGAGGCTCAACCGGTGATATGCTGATGCATTCACTGGATACCGTCAAGACGCGACAGCAGGGAGATCCTCATTTCCCTCCGAAATACTCTTCCTTGGGGCGGTCCTACCACACCATCTGGCGGCAGGAGGGCATTGCGAGGGGCTTGTACGGAGGCTGGCTCCCAGCGCTGAGCGGTTCATTTCCAGGCACGCTCATGTTTTTTGGCACATACGAATGGAGCAAGCGGTTCTTGATAGATCACGGCCTTAATCACCATCTCGCTTATCTCTCGGCGGGTGAGTCACAATTGGAACAAACCTGCGGTTCCTCGTTGTTCATGCGAAACTAACCTTGCCCCTTCTCCAGGATTCCTGGGAGACCTGGCGGCTTCCATTGTCTATGTGCCATCCGAAGTCCTCAAAACCCGACTGCAACTGCAGGGACGCTACAACAACCCCCATTTCGTCTCCGGCTACAACTACCGCGGCACCCTCGACGCCGCACGCACAATCATCCGAACAGAGGGTACCTCTGCGCTCTTCCACGGCTACAAGGCCACCTTGTATCGAGACCTACCCTTCTCCGCGCTACAGTTTATGTTCTGGGAGCAGTTCCAGGCTTGGTCAAGAGTGTACAAGCAGAGCCGCGACATCGGCGTGCCCCTGGAGCTCTTAACCGGCGCCGCTGCGGGCGGTCTCGCCGGCGTCATCACATGTCCCCTCGACGTCGTCAAGACTCGCCTGCAGACGCAGGTCAACATACCTTCCGAGCCCGAACATTCACATCGGCCCAAGGACCCCAACCCTCAGAAGCGACTGATATCCACGTCGTCCCCAAGCACGCATAGGCCCAGGCCCGGCGCCATCGCGCTCAAGACGTCATCCGTCTTCACCGGACTGAGAGTCATCTACCATACCGAGGGTATGAGCGGCTGGTTCCGCGGCGTCGGGCCCCGTGGCGTGTGGACTTTTATCCAGAGCGGCTGCATGCTCTTCTTGTACCAGCGGCTGCTTCACAAGCTGGAGGTTTGGATGCCTCTGGAAAATCCCGAGAATGAAGCAGCACTGTAAAAAAAAGAAGAGATATTCCTGCTTGCTCGTTTTCTTTCTTCATTTGCTATTTTTAATTTTCTTTTCATGTACATTGACAGTGAGCATTATGATGCGAAGACATACACCCAGCATTGCGGAGAGGAGAAGCGAATATCGAGAGGCGATATCACCATGTATAAATTCACTAGATGGGAGGAGAAAGGGGGCGATGGAAATAAGAAGAAGACTACTCAAGTTTTACAAAAAAGAACGGCGGAGGACTGATTGGAAGGATTTGGAGCGGACCCGGTCACTTTGTGTGAGGCGTTTTAAGGGGGTTTAGAACTGGGATGATAAGATGGCATTCTTTTGATATATGATATAGATAGAGGGCATGGGAAGGACATACGTGCCAAATCTCCAACATGTTTTATTACTACCATCCGCTCGCCATTCAGTTTGTATTTTGTTGCTTTGTCAAGCATCACTGTATTAGAGGTAGGTTGATGCATTAGAAAGGGGAGCTTTATTTATACATACCACTATCTAACACGGGGGAAACAACATCAACCAAAAGGTATCTCATCTCAAACCAGACCAGACAAAAAAAAAGCAGCAAGATGCAAACAGACGTCGTATCAAAAAAAGATCAATGCCACACGCAGAAATCCCAGGCAGCTACAGCAACAGTATCCTCAACAACCTTCTCTTCTCATGCCTCTACCCCTTTAAAGAAAAGAAAAATCAAGCATCCGGATCACTCTCTTCGACAACTCCCTCCTCCTCAAAGTCCCCCATCCTCTTCATCATGTCGTCTCTCGCAAGACACGTCGCAATCGCCACCGTCAAGGCATTCCACACGCCCAGTCTGCATTCTTGGAAATTCAGGTCTACGTGGTAGTTGATATTCATGTCGGCGTCTTCCTTTGAAGCGTCGGCGGTGAGTAAAATGACAGAGGTAGCAACGATAAAGAAGCCGAACACGACGGGCGGCGGACGAGTGTATGATGTTGGAGGAGCCGACGAGTGGAGCGTTGTTGTCGAAGCCATGGGAATGTCTGCCATTGTGATGTCGTCGTCTGAATCGTCAAACTGTTCCCGTTTGATTGCGATTTCTGCTTCTTCCTCTCGCTTCACGTATACTCTGCCCCTTGCGTGGTCGTTGCCTCGTCTCGTCTTTGGCTCGTCATCTCCGCTGTCAATGACGGATGTTTCTCCGTGGGATTCTGGCTTTATGACGGGCCGCCGCAGTAGTTGGAACAGTTTGTTCATCATCCGTGCGCCAAACGTCCTCCAAGACTTGCTTCTGCCGCCGCCGGGCTGCTGCTCGACGGAGGCTTCTGCTTCAGTCTTGATTTGCGTCTCGACCTCCATGTCTACATCCATGTCAGTTGAATAGCTCCCCTGCTCCGTCTTGATGGCGAGCAAGTCTCGGTGTGCCCGTGCCAACTCTCTCATGCGTGTCTCGACAAAGTCCGCCAACATACGACCTTGGCCGTTCCTATCGACGATCTCGACCGCGACATTGGGGGTGTACTTCAGATGGCTGTAGCCTCCGTCTTCAGCCGCCCAGCTGAGGTACTTATCCAAGGCTGTCTTGATCATTTCGGGCACCTTTCGACGCAGACCCGACTGGCAGTTTGTGCGGACGTTGGCAGTGAGGTCAATGAGTCGTGATAGCGCCCAAGTTGCTACCTCCCGCGTCAGTTTAAAAGCTTCGTCTAGGCAAATAAAGGAGAGGGAACAGAAATTTCTTACTTACCTCGAAATCCGCCTATAGGTCCAGTCGTGTGCGCATACACAATCGGCTTCACCCCCCTCCTGTAACAGAACAAATCCCCCGAAACGGGAACGCCTCGAAAATCAACCTCCCAGTGCAGCGGCAAGAGCGGGATCTCCTGTCGCAGGAACAGAATCTCAAACAGCCGCTCTTCCAGCCCGTTCCACCGCTGGCTGCCCAGATATCGCCTCTTCTCCGTCTCCATGCTGTCCAGGATCGCGCCGTGGACGAGCCGCTCGCCGTCGTCCTCGCCTCCCCATGGCCTCATCGGCGACTGGTGGACTTTCCGGGGCGACTTTGAGCAGCGGTAGGGAGAGCTTCTGGGGGTGGGAGTGCGTTTCTTGGGCGAGGTTTTGTGGTATCGACGGGCTTTTCTGCGTCGAAGGGGGGTGCTGCTGCTGCTACGGCTCTTTTGAGGTGAGGCCGAGATGGTTTGTGTTTTCGTCTCCATGATTGGGTATTTGGGTGTATGATAGAGTCAGAGAGTTCTCGGTACTGCGCATGCTGCTCGAGGACGGTGTTGACGACTGAGTTTGACGTCCCTTTTCAAAGGGTGGACGAAGTGCGTTTGCGGATGGATGACTTGGGGGGGGAGATTCGGTAACTTGGCTAGATGAATGCAATTATAGGGCGTCGTGGGCACTATGAATGTGCTGTGGGAGGTAATTTGGCAGTGCTGGGCAGCTGCGTCGATGCAGTGAGGATGCCAGCAGTCAATTTGCAGCTGTAGGGAGCCGAGCCCTCCAAACAGGCGGAATATATGTAGGTTGCATGAGACTAGAAGCATTTGAACAGCTTCTATCGGAGGTGGATCGATCAATGGCTCTTTCAACCTGAACGATTGCTTTCATGTCGTCGATTTGTTGGTTTCAGTGTATAAAGAGAGAGTCGATTCGGACAAAGGGGGAGCCGGCCGTGCATCTCTCTCTTTGACATCCGTAACAAGACTCGACAAAGTCCTTTCTGAACAAACAACACTGTTTAGCTGTGACTGCACAGCTCGCCATTTTTCATTCATTAACGTTGACAGCTCTAATAATGGCCCGCGGCAGGATGGCAACATGCAGCCAGGGGTCAATGATTGCAGTGAGTCGAGCAGCCATGGAATTGCGTTTGCAGGAAATCAGATTCATAGGTATTCTGCAGAGACCTGAGACTCAATTTATCCATTGCCAAGATTTGCATCGCACTGCCCAGTCAACTCGTCTTCACCCATCGAGTGAATCCATCTACAAAGAGCACTCAGTCCTTCTTCTCCATGTACGGCAAACACGCCTCATAAATGTCCTTGAAGCCAGGGCACTCCACGCTCCTCTGGAACACTCCCTCGTCAATCACCTTGACAGATTGAAGAGATCCCGCAATGAAGAAGTCGCTGTAGCTCGGTCGAGCTCCGAGTATAAACGGCCCAAGCGCCTTGTTTGTCCGCATCAGCTCTCCAACAGCACGCCGATCGGCATCGACCGCCTGCCAGCGCTCCTCTTCGCCCGCGAGCAATTCTTCCAGCGTTTTTCCAAACCGACCCTCGCGAGAGCGTCGGAAGTACTCTTGCGCTCGTGGTGACAAGATGTGAACCTCGCGAGGCATTGCCGACCTGTAAAAGGTTGGGGCTACCAATGAGCGTATCTTGGTCTCGATTTCGGTACCCAGTTCCGAAGTGAGGGCCACCGAAGGCTCTGGGTATGTCGACTCTAGGAATTCCGAAATGGGCTTCGAGTCCATTATGTATTTGTTGGTCGGCAAATGGTGGATGGTGGGCACCGTGTAGTTGAAATTCCCAGAGGCAGGGTCATGGGGAGGCAAGCCGCTGTGTTCCCATGTTATCTGGAGTGCTCAAGTTGCATATTTGTATATTGAGAGTGTAGTAAAAGGGCCAAAAGGGGGCTAAGCAAGAGTCGGTCACAGCATAAAACTTGGTATTCATTGAGAAAGAGACGATGAAGACTTACAGCCCCTTGAGCGTGGGCTCGATATCCGGCATCTCGAGGAAGACTGTCTTGTAGGGAATTTGCTTATAATTGAGCAACAGTCTAATGCGCCAGACGACTGGAGAAAAACAGACGTCTTTGGTGCAAGCTAAATCGTACAAGATAATCTGAGGTCCGGGGTTTGAGACTGCCATGTTGAATGCGATATAGTAAAGACTCAAATTGAAGAGACAAGGTACGAGTGTAGAATCTAGCTCCTGGCTGGTGATTGTGAACAGAGGGAGAACAATTTAAGCCACAGGTTTGGAATGATAGATGTAAGAAATAATGTCCATATGATTTGCGCTTCTATTATACGCAACAATTACACACAACAAAAGTCCCGACAGAAATGAGAGGTTATTTGGCTACATGTCACTTGAATCCTTCGTAGGACGTGGCGATCATGAACGGCTGCTATTGGTGAGGATGGAGGGATATATTGAGCCAACTTTGTGAGCTTTTATTGGCTCATAATATCAACGGCTATATGGCGACGACTAGGACCCTTGTTTAGGAAACGTCCAATCCAATTATCCATCATGCATGCGCTTTGCATGGTTGAGATCCAATGGCAATACACAGCTACAAACAGTACATGGCGGGACGATGGCGATACAGTGTTGATAACACAGTGTCCCATATCGCAACACTGTATCGGCCAATCCTGACCCCACATGGGCAAAACTTTGGACATCGAACTCCGATCTGCAAACTGACTTGATATTGAGATGCCTGTATAGCATCATCTCGACCAGATCCCAATTCAACGCTGCAGCCATGGCCGAGGCAGTGAAAGCCGCCGCGCGCCAATTCCCCGCCTTCAAGCTGGGCCAGAAGCAAGTTTTCTTGTGCGCCAAACCTCCGCAGCCCGTGAAATCCCCTTGCGCAATAACTCACCACCCAGTTCCCCCACAGGCCAAACCATGTCATCACAATGCTCCGAAAAGAACACCTCCCGCCCAACGAGGCCTGCTTCAAGGTGCCCCTGCGATTCACAAAGTTTGACCTGCGAGACTACCTGTGGAACCTCTACGGCGTCGAGGTCGCCGCCGTCCGGTCCTACGTCAAGCAGCAGCCGCTCACCCAGCGCAGCACCAGCTCGCGCTCCTGGTACCGGCCGCAGCCGCAGAAGATGATGACGGTCGAGCTGGCCAGGCCCTTCCAGTGGCCCGAGGTGCCGGCGGACCTGGAGCCCTGGAGCAACGAGCTGTGGAAGATGCGCGAGGACACGATTGAGAAGCGCAACGAGGAGCAGCTCGTGCGGCAGCGGTTCCAGATCCCGCTCAAGAGCCAGGAGCCCGTGCCCAAGGAGCGGGCGGAGCTGGGCAACTTGGCCAAGAAGATGCTGGCGGGAGAGGTCAAGTGGGAGAACAATGTTGTGTTGGATCCTAGGTGGGATCAGATTCTGGGCAAGGACAAGGCTGTGAAATCAGCGGAGAAGACGACGACTACTTCATGAAATGGAATAAAATTGAGAAAAAAAAAGGGAATAATGGAAAACGGAATACCAAATAGAGGGAGCGAGCACTGGGGGTTTTCTTCTTCTATTGGGAACATACAGGAAAAGAGGGGATGATGGCAACTCGGTAGCCAGTGTACGACTTGGACGCATAGCATGTGCATGTATGTATGTATGTACCTTATGTATATTACTCTTGAACTTGAACAAAACAGCCTCAAGGTCAATTCTTTCTACTTTGGACAACGATCTCACGGCATTAACATTACATCAACGTCAAGATTGAACCCAATGCTCCGCTGCTTGAAACCGCAACACTTGATCCCCCCAGCTCCACCACCCACAAGTCAGATTCCGTGCAAACACTTCCAAAGCAGCGTAATCCCTCCCAAGAACATCCTCAAACAAGAACCGAAGGCTCGGCTTCCGCGAGTGTACGTCGGGCACCGCCACAATGACTCGAGGCTTAAGCCTGCTCGGAGCTTTTGCGCCGATCCGCTTTGCTATGAGGAGCGTCTCCCACGGTTTCCTCCATGTCGACTCCATATCGAACATGGGCTCGCCAGATGAAGTGATCTTGAGCCACGTCCATTGTGTTACCAGCTCTAGACCCCAGGACGCAAAGAGCCCTCTGGGAGAGGTGACGAGGTCGAAAACACTAGACTTGTTCGTGATCCAGACAGCTACTAAGCCGTCGGGGGCAAGATGTAAGGGAACAGGGATGCTGAGGAGAAGCTGCTGGATATCCGTGAGATTATAGGCAGTGTTGTAACTACCCGTCTTCTTCCTGCGAACAGATCGATTGGGCCACGGAGGATCAAGTACAACGAGGTTGAACTGCGGTGCCGTGTCGATGAATGTCTGCCGCAAGTCTTGGATCGTTCCGTGGAGATATTCAGCTCCAACCGGAATCCCGATGCGACAAGCCTCAGCCGATTCACCACCGGTAGCATCAGCACCGGCATCAACAGCAGACACCCCTTCTTCCCCTGCAGAATGACAAACCCGGTCCAGCAAAAACGGCCCCGAATACCGACCCCGAAGCTCATCCAACGCGCCCCGAGCAGCCGCCGCAGCCATCAATTCAGCAATTTGAGCTCCCGCAGACGGCGAATGGCTCGCCGACGCCCCATTGCGCGGCTCCGGGGTAGCAAGAGGCTCCAGCGGGGGAGGCCCGGAGACGATGCGAGCCGCGGGCCGGTGGCCGGGGGGAACTTGGGCTTCTTCTAGGGAGCGAGGAATGTCGAGCAGGACGAAGGCAGGAGAGTCATTGTTGTTGTTGTTGTTGTTGTTGCTCGATTGGAAGAGGATTGACGATGGTGGTGAGCTGGGAGGTGCTGTCTCATATGTGCTGCCAGAGGCCATGTCGGCGCATGAGATTATACAAACATTATGCTGTAATCAATGACAAGCATATATTGCGTATCACAAATAAAGAGACAAAGCCATTCGAAAAGTCACTGCAGACATATATGGCAAGCAAAGGCAGATGCTTTTGGTCATGGAAAGTGAACAAAAGATTACACTTACCAGCGTTTTAGCGCTAGTACTGTGTATAAAGGGCCAATAGGATTACATCAATCACACTCGTTAACACAATTGGCTAAAAATGACAATACCGACTCTTTCATTTTCTTTTTCTTTATTATCTTACTTTTACTCGTCCTTTCACTCTTCTCTTCTACCCCTTGTTAGAAAAGAGGAGTGAATGGAAAGAAAAAAAACCAAAACGCCGTCGCTCCAAAACGAAACAAGGAAAAATGTATACGTGCTGATTGTGTTGTACATTCTCTCCCAAACCACCAAATAGCCCTAGCTGTGCCATGGCAAATGCCTCGCGCCTTTGGGGCATCTTTGTTCATCCTTTCCAACCCCTTGATACCACTCACGATTTCCCATCCTTTTTAACCTTGCCAAAAGGACCAACAGGGTTTTGGCTTATATGGACGCTGGGGCAGCGTCTTTCCTCCATCCCTTGCTCCGCATGTTCATCTCAATAGACTTCCAAATATACTCCACAACCTCCTTATCTCTAAACCGCGAGGCAACGTCGTCTTCGCCTCGCCAGCGGTCTACACTGGTGCTCATGACACGATGGCCCCAGCCGCGGATATTATCCGGCGGCAGGTCGCCTCTCCATCCGACGAACACGCCCATGGTGTGCTTGAACAGCTCGTTGGGGCTGCTCCACTTGTAATTCTTGAACTGCCACGTCTGGCCTGTTGTAAACACCGCAACGATGCGGTTCCAGTATTCGGGCTTGAACTGCTCCGACCCCTCGACAAGGATGAAGCGCATAGGTCGGTTGGGGTCGATGCCGGGAATGATGCGCTGGACGTGAAGCATCGAGGCGGTGGACGCTCCGGCATCAGGAGGCACAAACTTGCCGTCCTCGAGGAAGGATCGGGCATTGGACATGCGCAGTAGAGACGAGGCGGATGGAGAAAGCAGGATGATGGGGTCAGGGCGTCGGGAAGGGCCCTTTTGGTTGATGGAGAGCGACTGCGTTGAGCCAATAGCGGAAGAGGACTGTGACTTCTTTTGAATAAAGGGAATGGCGAGTTTTCGGACGTGAGAAAAATCCTAAAGGCAGCGTCAGCCAAGTTCCCACCAGTACACGGCGTACAAGCAGCTCCAAGTAAGGCATCGATTCACTTACCGTGGGTTTGATGCCCCTCAGGACCGTGTTCCGGTCGCCCATCCGGCGCTCGCCATCGTACACGCTCGCCAGCCGCGGGTCAATTGTCCCCTTGCCGGACCTCGCCTGCGCAGCCAAGGCCGCAGCACCAGTCTTTGAGGACGGAGCCGCTCCAGCAGCCGCCGCGCTCGCATCACCGGCCAAGGGCTTGATGTACTCGCTTTCTTCACTGGCACCTTCCAGCCAAGTAATCAGATCTAGCCTCTCGATGAAGCCCAGATTCTGCACCTTGCCGCTCGACCCGTTGGCGGCGAGGTCGTCGTTGAGTGTTGTCGCCGAGGCATTGTATTCCGGAATGGCAAGCTCACGGTTGAGCCAGGCAAAGTAGATACTGCGCAGGTCGACGGGCTTGTCGCTCGAGATGAAGCGCGTGGGCGAGTCTATCGGCAAGGGGAGGGAGAGCCCTGTGAACTGCAGGTGCGTGGCCTTGGAGAGAGGGACTTCGGGCGCCGCTGCATCGGCAGACGCGGTCGGGATGAAGGGCTGGCTGCTCGAGATGGACTGCCGAAGGACAAGGAGGGGATCGTGGTCGGTGGGCGCCATGATGGACGCGAGAGGCGCGAGGGCGGGAAAAGGACTTCAAGCTTTGTAGGAGAGGCGGTCGACTGGGGGAGATGGAAGAGGGCGGTGCTGTCAATGATTGATTGTGGGAGGCCAATTGATGCGCCGCGTAATCGAGAGAAGAGGCCCGCTGGTGATGAGGCTGTAGGGGGACGATACTGTAGTTGGGAGATGTAAGTTGGTGAAGAGAGGTTGTAGCGCAGCAAGGCTGAGGGAGGCTAAAAAGCTGCAGCGCCGTGTCGGCCAATGAGATTGCAGCTTGACCTCTCAGCCAGGATAAGTGAGATGGTGCCCATTGGAGGGACGTTTAAACGCTGCTTTAATGGTGAAACTCGGTGAAATTGAATAAAGGGATTGCTAAAGTTCTATATTTGTTGTATGCATATATAGTGAGTACTATCAACTATTTGCCAGTGCATCATACATATTAGATATGAGCAGCTCAGTTTGGAACGTGAGGCGCCTGGTTCAGCACCACCTCACTTCACACATACCCGATTAGTAAAATGAATGACCACCCAACAAATCACGGCACGGCAGAATGCATTGAATGCAACTCTATTGCATTCTACGAAAACGCTCTGAGCTGTTTTACATGTAACCAATCCCACCATGTCCCGCACTCTAACCGGGCTCAACCTCAACTCCGTCCTTTCGAGGTACCCTTGGAGGCTCAATGATACAAAAAGAGAGCAACAAAGAAGACAAAAAAAAAAAAACAGAAATCTTTACACGTAATGCTTTACAACCCAAAAGACAGAAAAAATTCGCCAACGCCAGTACAGCCGTGCCTTCGTTTTCCTCTTTCTTTATATACCAAAAACAAGCTTCATGCGTTCGTAGGTGTAGAAGCTCACCGCCGCCAAGGGAATCACCTTGACATACCCAATCGTGAGGCCGACGAAGAAGCCACGGAAGCCGCGCTCTCGGAGGATCATAGCCGCCGTCTCGCCGACTCGTAGCCTTCGGCCATCGCCAACAGCGCCGCCAACCTGCATGCGTCGTCGGACAACCTCCAGAGGGTAAGAGCTCGTTTGAGAAATCATGCCGGCTACGCCTCCGGCCGTGAGTTCGGCCCAGGACCGAAGCGGTGCCGCCTTGCCTTCTGGGTGGTTCTTCTTTTTCGGCAGAGTTGTGTGCTCGGCGATGGAAGGATGGCGAAGAAGGTCGGACATGGTGTCGTGAGTGAGGAAGGACACGCCAGCATACGGCAGCATGCCGAGCATGGTGGGAGCAAATCCCCGGTAGAAATTCACAAGGCCGACTCGCGGTGCAACGGATTCGACGACAGAGGCGGCTGAGTCCACGGCGGCAGCGATTCCAGGTGAATTCGGCAGTTTTGGTGTTCGGGTTTTTTCAACGGGGTGTTCATTATAGATTTGGCGACAAATGGATGTCAGGGATGACCGGCCATCTCTCCTGGTCTCAAAGGCGAGACGGACCCGAACAACTTCCAAGGGGTATGTGAAAAAGACAGAGGTCACGCCGGCAAGACTACCACTGATTAGTCGTCGAAATGGCGTCTCGTGGTTTTTGTCGGGAATAATCATGGAGCGAATCTGCTCGTAGGCGAGGAATTTAATGCCGGCATAGGGGAAAATTCTGAGGAGGGTGGCTGAGTGGCCCCTGAAGAGCCCTCTGCCGCCTTCTTGGAGGTATATGTCTTTCATCGCGGAAGCGACTCCAAACGAGGAGCCGGTGTATTTTGCAAATTGCGGATTGCTGGTCTGGAAGAGAATTTTGACGCGATCGAGAGGCGCCACTGTCGTTTTGGCCTGTCCATGAAGCGGTTAGCAAAGACAATTCCTGCACATTTCGACTGATTCAGTCTCCCAGGCAAGAAAACTCACAGCGCATCCTGCGATACCCCCGGCGACACCGGACCTCCAGATATAGTCCCACGAGCGAGTCTTTGCGCGCGAGGCCACGGCGTCGTCGTTTGCAGCGGAAACGGCAGCCTCTTTTCTTCTCGGCACAGGAGCCGAAGCCGCAGTGCCAACCACAGTCGCGCCATGCTGTCGAGCTTTGTCGCGTGCTATGTCGGCCATGGAGCCCGCATCCGCATAGGCGGACGGCATTGCGGCGCAGTGGCGGATAGTTTTGCGATGACCAGACGAGTCTATGGAAACGACATGCCCGCAGAAGTCGTTTCAGATTCTTTGAAGCAAAAGAAGGAGGGCAACAAAAGGAGGATGCGAAGACAAAAGGGAAAATCGCAGCAACGGTTCAACGGTTTAGCGAGGCCAAATGCTAAGGCTAAGGGGCAAATGATTGTAAGGATCAAGGAAAACAAAAAGCTGGTCAAGAATGGATAGCGGATCGAAACTCCGGCTCCGAGAGACGTCATGCGCCTGTGCGCACTTTGGCGATACCTGTGCGGTACCTGCGTCAACGCACGCTGCCTGCCCATGTGACCAAGTCACTCAGGGGTTACTCTGAGGGGAGCTTTCCAGGGCGTGGGGTTCTCCGGACCGCTGGAGAAAAAGCTGGAGTGCTGCCGAGCCGAGAAATACCGAGTCAAGAGCCGTTGTGCCGTGGACAGCCATTGGGGCGAGTGCTGCGACAACGGCTCTTTTGTCACCGGTTACAAATACGGTGACACCCATTAATCACTTTAGAATTGAAGAGGCGAGGCAGATTTGGGATACGGGGTTTAAAGAGTGAATTGGGCAGTAGATGGATTGCCTAATTAGTCGGTAGGTGGACAATCAATAACTTGAACTCAATCACATGCAAAAGACCTCACCATCCATTGCATATTCCTCAGTGATGGACGGACCAGTTTCACCCATTGTCAGAAAGTTTTCTTGCTCCAGGAATTAAAAATCCCCCAAAAAAGAAGAAGAAAGAAATACACTCAACAGCTGCTCGTATGGCTTGTGCCTCGGTCACGTTGCGACCTGGTCGTACGATTAAGCTGGGGTCTAATCACCAGCTAACAACGTGGGCAGATTTCCCGCAAGCACTCGGCCCACTTCCCCAGTCTCCTCCGCAGAGTTAAAGATGCGTGGATCGTCCAGGTTTTGTGCCGAAACAAGCGTCCAGCATGCTGAATGGCATATGTTGAGCTCGCACACTGTGGTAAAGCAGTACCGAGTTCGCCAAAGTCCTTCAAAACGGCATCACTGGGTGGATTCGGCTATATGGCAAAGTGTCGGATAAAGGAGAATACAAGTCAGAATCATGGGTGTTTCTTGCAATTGGGATGTCTCAGATATGTCATCACTCGCAGCAGCAATAATCTCTCACTGCTCTCGCCAATGATCACCAGGGTCCCCAACTTGACCTAGGGCTCTTCTGCCAATATTTCACTAAAACGGAATCACATACGTCAACGCTGGAGAAGTGGCCATCAACTCCCTTTCTCTGAGTTAATGAACCGAATGCTCGAATTAATCTCAATGGGCTTTGTTTAATTCGGCAGTCGAGATCGTCAACGCAACAATAGCCCGCTCCCTTGCACTTCGGCATCCAAATCTATTAAAAATATTGACCTATTACTTTGTGGTAGATCTTCATTGTAAAGCCGCCGGAAGGAAATCAAAGTTCTTCTCAGATTCATTACCCAACATGGCAACATAAAGTGTCAATCTTTTCATCTAACATCCTTCTTTGGCCATCTCAACTACTACGTCTTCTCCTTAACAGCAGCCTATTATTAGTAGCATTGCCCTGTGGAGGCCGCCCCCAGACTTAATAATAAAAATAATGAAAGCCATACTATATAGAGGACGTTGGTTCTTATCAAGGATGCCTTTCCGTTGACACAGTCGGAGGCAGAGATTTGACAGGACTGCCGAAATTCCACAATTTATGGCGAGCTATGCATCCAAGGGCGCACGCAAAGCCCGCAAATACCTCAGTTCAGGCTCGAATATATCTCCTAACCCCAAATGTAGTGATGTTTGCCATGGGGAGTACACCTCTTCTTTTTGGTTGTGGTAGCTGGACGGAGGATGTTGCGTACAGAAAAGGGGTGTTTCACTTCAATTGGAGACTAACATCGACTTCTATATGCATAAATAGGGGGGAGCTCTCTATTCATAAGGCGCCCCCGATACTTCCAAAAACTGGACTCGCTTTGTTCACCTGTAGATGGTCCGCTAGGCAGAATGTTGAAGTCCGCCAAAACCATCTACATCTCTCCCCATACCCTTTAAGAGCACCTCGTACAGTAGCAGAGGTTGGAGATAACCTTGCTGCAGCCGGTCAGCTCTAAATGGCAGTTTAGAGACTCAACAATGCCAAGAGGCATCTACCAGCGACAAGTTCGTCTCGGGGTCATCTTCCAGTAGGAACGAGACAATGACGTCTTGGAAAGTCAAAGAACCAAACAAGATGTAACCGGCGAGATCTTTCAAGTCCCAGTCGCTTATGAATTTTTGAAGCTCCCGAGATGAGACGACTTCGGTCTCAAGCGGTTTTTAACACATGTTGAAGGCAAGTTGAGAAGCGCACATGGAATAATTGCCGCACATACTACTATCTCGACTCTATACGACATCATAGAACAGTTGGTTTCGGTCTGCTTTATGATTGGGCTCCTAAATATTGACAGTGAAACAAGTAACTAGGTATGATATGGGTTTGACATCAAAAAGAAGCCAATGTCGGATGTCGGACGTGTTCTAAGCAGCAGATGGCGATGAACTTCTCCCTAGATATCCAGGCATGTCATGAAGCTTCAAGCGCCTACGACCCTCGGCTGGTAATCAGACATCCATAAAATACAATAACCCCTTTTAATTGATGAAACTCGTGTCTCGCTCTTTAATTCAGTTGTCAGACATTCTTCTCGCTTCCCAGTGTCATTTACTGATAAACCGCCACGCACGACAGAACCTCTGCAATCCTTCAACACAATCAATCTCAGGGGTCTCCAAAAGATCAGGGTGACTTTTCGAAACATCGTCCACGACGCCATCGATCCGCACAGAGATGAAACTCGAAAACCTCTTCATAGCCTGGACACTCTTTCGCCGTCATCTCTGGGATACACTCATCTGCCGCTACCCAGTAGATTAAACATCCACCTCTCTGACGGAAATCTTTCCAAGAGCGATCAACGTTACATAAATGCCATCGTTGATCCCCACTCTAGTAGCGCTTAATCGCCGATTGAGAGGTTAGATAGACTAATAATGCATATAATCAGTCGTGGCTTCTTCATCAGTTCGAATCTGCTTAGAATCTTCAGAGAAGAACATTTCTTTGTCGGCTCCTCTACACAGAGTACCTTAGCTTTGCCAATATTCTTCAAAGAGGCTTTCTGGATGATTCCATTATTGAGAATGAGTAGGCAGTAGAGTTGAATCTAATCCCAAGCCAAGAGTATACTTAAAATTTCATCGCAACACATAATCCGCCTCTAGATCTGTATATAGGATGTATTCTGTTATATATGGAGAAGCTTCATCTCTACTTCATAGCTATACTCTCGTGTAGCTCAACACACTAACCCTGCAAATGCCATATCGAAAGAAATCGCCGCACTCTATTTGAACAACAACCGCAGTCGTCATCATGCAATCAGATGCTCTCCCTTCCACGACGATCCCCATCTTCTAAACTGGTTAAAGTTTGATACAAGCCAAACCGGACAAGCCATCCTTCACAAAGAAACAAAGCCCGCGCTCCTAGACAAATTATTGCTAAAACGCCATGTTCCTAGCCAATGATCCTGACTCGATAAACGGATCCTGTCACGATGCCTATCTTCCGTCCGGCTTGGGACGACCAGGATATCGGACCCATCATGAATCATGCGACCAGATCCTTGATCGCGTTTCATGACGGACCCGCGATTCTCTACGGTATCGCCTTCGGTGTAGCTTCAAGGAGGTCCTTACAAGATACGTAGGCAGTCGTCGATAAACTAACTGTAGTTTTACCAAAGCTATATCCCTCTTACTTCATGTTGTATTCACGAGGATCCCCCGCACAACGCTAACCTGGCAAGGAGCACAAAGAACAAACTCTACATTGTATCCTCATTGGGTAGCTCGCTAGTCCGTGATGAGGTCGTTGTTCGCAAAAGGCCGCCCTTCTCGGTAATTGATGCCTCGTGGCCAGGGCTCTACCGACGGGCTCCTCCTCCTCAATTATCCCTGATTAGGGAAACACGGCACAAACACACCTCTGCAACGAATCGTGCGCATAGGGTATGATCACATAGTGGCTCCGTCGTCTACCGTACGTGTCTCGACCGGAGATGATTCCAGAGAGAGAAAGGCTTCCGGCGTGCCGTGCAAAGTACACAATACCAAGTAATGGATAACGACCGCGGGCGGCAGCGAGTGTCATTGCACAAATCTCGGCCGATGGAGGCTTTACTGCCGATTCCACTGGCGTGCCCAGCCGAACGAGGTGGTATCGCTCCATAGGAAGCCCGCAGACAGACAGGTACGCGTGTCACTCTGTGTATGTTGGTGTATGCTGTGATGCCCTTGTCCATGGGAATCGAAACCGGGATCGTGCAGCAGGAATGCGAGCAAATGCATCTGTCCGTCTTGTAAACGGAAAAGTCTCCTCAATCTCGATAAGCCCGGTCCCGCCCTCTTGTGCGTGCACAGGCAGTCCAGACCGAGGGGGGCATATAAGATGAGATGACCATACGGAGCCTTGCCGTTGCACGTCGTATTGATGCGGCTTACATGTATGTACGAGTATGAGTCTGCTATCAAGGGCTTCGATCGTGCCTGGGCAGACCCCTGTCCGGAATCACAATGAATTCTAGAAGAGAGAATCGACAAGAGGCGAGGTTGATGAGTTAATGACCTACCTATTGCAGGCCACGCACGCACGCACGCACGTTCATGTAGTGATTGTTGCCTGCTCAAAACGTCGTTGACTAGGGGTCTTGGGTTAGGCTTAGGCTACATGTATGTCGACCCTTGCATATGACATGCCATGTAGGTACGGAGAAGAGCGCAAGCTCAATGCGTGCGGCCTCGGCAGATCTGCGTCAGACAGCAGGCCTCGGTCTGAAACATTACCTACTTACCCATAATATAGAGGAGATGCTCGATTGCGAATATGCATAGCGCGCGCGCATGTAAGCCAAACGTCGCAAACGCTTCCTCTGGGGGACGGCCAAGGCCGACTTTCGAAGCAAAAGAGCCGCGGCCTAGCAAAGGCGCAGAGCAGAGAAGCCCAAGCCACGACGTCCGGCCGGCTATCGAGGAGAGCTTGTCGGCGGCAGTCGAACCAGCCACGCAGCGGAGTGGCTTGAAAGATTTCGCCGTTGGAAAGACTGGAGGAATCCTTTGTAGGAACGAAGGCGTTTGAGCCGCGGACCGCTCTGGTTCCTCTGCAATGCCCAAAGCAGAAGCACCCATACCAAGCTCCATGTCTGCATTGGGACAGGCAGATGGCCTCGGAGAATTTTCAACGGCGTGTCCGGCCAAGGTGAAGGACAGCATTTCGGGGGTGTCCGAATAGGCAACACAGATGCTCTGACGGTCTGTTGACGGCGATGCGCCGATATTTCGAGGGCTGTCGGTGTCGGTTATAGAAGCACACGGATCAATGTGTACTCCGTAGGTAGGCATTGCTTTGCGCGCTGAGGAAACGTTGCAGCAAGTGCTCGTACCATGATAGCCCCCGAGTTCCAGGGTGACGACAGGCATCTATATCGCTTGTTTTCTCTCTCTTTCATGCAGGACATTTCAGCAATGCTTGCGCTCGGCCAAGCAACGGCGAATATGGGTGCGGCATGTCCTTGTTCTGGCAAGTGGAAACCTGCATCACAATGGCAGAGCCGCCATGGAGTTGAGCAACATGCATCAGTCCCATATGACGAGATTGGCAACTCCGGCATCACAGCGCCTTGGCCGTCCGGGGATCTGTGTATGAATATGCAGGCTCTGCTGCAGACGCGGCGAACCGGCATGCCTGTACCGAATGCTACCGTACAGTACTCTTGATGCCCAGAGAGCGACATCGACAGTTTCATAGGCGAGAAGATGGCGGGAAGTGGGCGGAGTGTTTTGAGGGGGCTTGAAGTTCGGCGAAGTCCTGACGATCACATCATTTTCCAGCCGGAAAAAAAATAACAGGGAGCCCGAGCCAAGTTTCGAGTTGCTGATATTGAACCAAGGACTGGCGGCAGCTCTGCACGTATGATGCCTACTCCGACGCACCAGCTAGATAGGCAGGCCGGTAGTAGCGTGTGGCGAGTGATGGCGCCGATGTGATGTCTACGAGTACTGTATGTCAACTGGAAATCATACTCGTACCTAGCTGTATTCCGTCTGCGGCAACAGATGCATAACTGCAACTGTGCATGCAGGGCAGGCAAGATTCTGTGTGTACTGATATCGTGACGCCCCCACGTGTGCCATCTCATGAATCTCGCATGGCTGAAAGTTGGGGGCCATGGAAAGACTAGATTCAAGACAAAACCCACATGGCAGCCCCGGGAGGGAAAAAAAAAAAAGAAAGAGGAAAAAAGCTGAGAATTCTCCTAGCGGGCTGGGATCAGGCCCGGTACGTACTCGTACTTGATAGTATCAAATCAAAAGCTGAGGTGCTACTGTAGACCAGTTTGCTGATTGCTTTTGACTCGTGCGGTGGGGGGGCGATGGAGGTTTGTTTGCAAAGATGGAGAGATCACGTTGGACAAAAGGTGGACTTTGGGGGCGGTCTGCACCGTCCGTCCTGTCATGACAAGCCCGTAGCAGGTACTGCGACAAGCGTGTGGAGATGGCGGAGCTTGCTAGTAACTCGTACATGTGCTGGAGTATCCATTGCCTGGCGGTAAAGGTTGAGCTAAGACTCGAGTTGAAGTGAATCAATGGTTACGGAGTACGGAATATAGTATAGGCAATTTGTAGTGCCGTTTGTGAGAATATGGAGCCGGGGAATGGAGCCTTATACAGAGTACTAACGGAGCACGGAGTACGGAGTACAGGCAGCAGAATTGCTTCCAAACTGCCGAACCAAAAGTGCACAGTCGCAGCAACGGCACCGGTGATGCGACCTGCAAACGCCGGCCTCACGGATCAAACTATACCTTAGTACTGACCACTAGGTGGTTCCTCGTACCATATCTGTGGAACTACTGTTTCCTTCATTTGTTGGATGCGGCAGCCATAGACTGACACATGCGTCACGCCCCAACCGCAGCATTGCACCGACGCACTCTTGCTATCGTCGCCTCCCGAAAGCAGCCAATGAGAGGCTTCTGGGTGCCGCAATAGGGAAGTGAGTTGCTTCTTCTCCTAACGGCTCCTGGACACGGGCAGGGTCTTTGGAAATAACAACATGCTAGCCTTCAACTGATTCTGGGCGCGTGCTCTGTTGCGACTGGCTCAGAGAATTGCGAATACTCGGACGCGCTGAAAACTAAGGCACTCTCAACTCCTCACTAGCAGTGCTCCCCCAACCACTTGTTTTGCTTGTGCTCTATTGTACTCGTACGGAGCACTGGGCTGAGTCGAGAGCCGAACAGGGTTCTGCCGTGCGTGAGAAGCCAAGTGCGAGTACTTGTCCCATACGCCTACTGCACAGGCAAGGCAAGGTATCCGACAGGGGGGGCGGGGGTGTACATGTATCGTAAGAGAGAGAGCAGCAGCTTGCAGATCCAATAACGTGTGCTCGGTACTGGGCCAAGCCAAGCTCGTTTCCTGCCCTTTCTTTCTTGGCTCAATCTCCTATTTCTGCTTCTCTCGCGGCAGAATTTTGGCTCTCCACCCTCTTTGGATGCGGAATCTGTCGGCTCCTGGCACGGGAAGCCCTTTAGAAGGCATTAGAATGGCAAAAAGAAGGCCGAGTGGTTCGTTGCGGGGGGGCGTGCGTGTGTCTGCGAGACAGGGTTGCCAGGGGTTGGTTGGCTCTTCTGCGATTTGGGGAGTTGGTGGGCGTGCATGCGCAACACATGGCAAAGTATTCGCGACCTGGGCTGCACACGAGCGGATCTTGGTCTGCCCTCGAACTGCCATTTGGGCGGCTGGACGAAGCTAGCAGCCCATTACTAAGTGCTAACGAGTCTCGTGTGCTGGGGGACATGGATATGGCTGGAATAAGGCGGCTTTGGGAGCAGAGCCGGATACGATTTGGCCCTCAAGTGCTGGCATCGCCGTTTCAGATGAGATGCGTCAGATGGATCCTGATACATGAGCGCACCATAAATAGAACCATTGGCAATCTTTGGTCCCGAATCCATCGAGCTGCTAACGGGCGACTACTGCTCGCAAGCGCCTCGTCGACACTTACACAGCTCACCGCCGAAATGCGCCAGGGCATGGATGGGACGTAGGGATGGGCTCAAGACTGTCATGCCGTACCAGCGCAGTTAGCGCTTGTGTGTAGAATCGAATCCAGTGAATTGCAACTGATGCGGTGTGCTACCGGAACCAATAATTGAAACCATCGGATGCTCCGGACGGCCTCAACGCCTAGACAAACGCGTGTCGATGCCATCGATGTTGCATTGATTATTTCCTCGCAGCCGGCAGTTCGAGTGAAACCCGACTCGTGGATTGCCCTCTTCCTGTTTTTTTCGTTTGCAAACCCGATCCACCGAGCAGAAACTCGGCCATCACGAACATCAGGCCACTCTTTTATTACCGACCGTTGCAACTGATTCACGATCCATGGACAGTTGGAGTTGGGGGAAAAAAAAGCAAAAAACTGGCCCGTGGCCCACAATAAGCCCAAAAGTCTATTTATCGACACGCCATTTCGCCCGCGTGCAAGGCGAAAAGCATTGGATGTCACATTTGCGGATTACTGCGAATTGGGAACGCTGTAGAGATATTCCTGTAACCGGCACTGTCGACGGGCGGTGGTTAATATATGGTGCATGCCGTAGGATTTGACAAGTGACCGTCAGCGACGTGATGGAATCATGCTAGCGGTATCAGGCATTTGTGTGCTCTGTGCTCTGGATAGACAAGCAGGTACTTTGTACATGTAGCTGGCGATTTGTGCCACTCCTACGTCCATGCATTCTTTGTGTCTTGTATCACGGCCGGTAGCCTGTACATACTGTACTTGTTGGATGGCGCACATAATCCACATCGCACGGCTGTTGGATGTACGTGCGACGAAGATCGCACGTGTCACGGCAAATGCCATGTGGCCATCTTCGGATAATAACGAGAGGGAGCGAAGGCGAGATTCGGCCGGCATACCTGAGCCACGAACAGCTCGTATGTCGGGAACAGGATAGCCCGGCCACTACTAAGATTAAAGATGCGAAAGAAAAAAAAAACATGGTGCACTCCGTACGCTTGCATGAAGAGTTGCAAGGTACCGCTGCCAATCTGCCAGTAAGGTTAATAAACTTGTGACTAACAAGAACGATTTCCAAGTGTTTCTAAGTCGTTGTGCTCACAAATCCTTTTATTGGGCTGAGGAGAGAGGGAGAAAGAGAAAGAGAAAGAGAGCGACAGAGCGCCTTTCAACGATGCCACCCTGACTCCGTCCATTCAGGCAGTTTCTGGCAATCGACTACCCAACTGCAAGCAAGCAAGCATTCCATTGTCAAGGGACAAGCCGAAGCCCGGCAGTTCAGGAGCAGCCTACTTACAAGCTTTGCAGAAGCGAGCAACCCTCCTTTTCATGCCGTGCAACCACCTCGCGTGTCTATTGGCGCTGCGGCTGCCCTTTTTCGGCTGTGTGAGCCCTTTTGCTCGCCTCGGCAGGCAAATCGTCAAGTCGACTTGTTGAGATAAACGTCATGAGCCGATGCAACTGCGGCATCTTAGTACAGAGCACACGTACGAGTACGAAGACGCGATATGGGTAATACTACCCCCATCCTTCCACCCGAGGCGCAAACAACTGCACACGTACGAGCTACAGCGAAGGGCTGAGATCCAATCGAAGCTCCCTGGCATCCCGTCTCGCACACGCCCCTCCTTCTCCTCTTTTCCCTAGTCCGACAGGGAATACCTCGCTTTTGGGGCTGGCTCGCTTTGCCGGACACCCCGTCATGGCGCCTCGTGGTGCATCTTCACAAAACACGTGGCAAAATGCGATATCCACCAGTTCAAGGTGCCTCCTTTTTCTTTCGTTCTGCCGGCCTCCACCGCCCGTTGGCGGGTCGGACACAGATACCTATTCTCTTACATGCATAGCGGGGCCCGAAGGAGACGAGATGACTGGCTGCAACCACGGCAAACCCTGTCGAGCACAGCCCCCGTTACTGAGTTTCTCCCCTTTGGCACAAAGCAGGTACTTGCCAAGCACCCGCCGTTGACGATTTTTGTCGGGGTTGGCAGCAGCAGATGTTAGCGCCCTTCTTTCCCGCCACGGCCTTGCGTCATGGGATGACATATCCCGCCTAGGTTCAGGCTCGTCAGTGGCATCGACAACTGGAAGCTCCCAATCGAGACACTGTTGATTTGGCTTTTACTTTCCATGGCTTTTCCGTTTCTGAGCGGAGGTTGTAAGATGTTTTCGCCTCTCTACCTATTTCGTATTTTGTTTTTTCGCCATTGCTGTTTGCGAAAGGTGGCGTTCAATAGCTGAGCGAGCAAGCTCTTTACCGATGACGGTTTTTATCGCAGCGCAGAGCAGGGTGGCCCTGGAATTCCAACACCCA